TTTAGTAGTTTTACAAATTAGCTCAGAATTAAACCCTCAAAATTCAGTTAAATTCGGCAAGTAGTCTATATAATACAAGTATAATACAAATAGTCTGTATAAATCAACTCATCAGTCCATCAATTCATCGGGAAAATTCATCAATAAAGTTCATCAGTAAGTACTCCTATAGTCATCAATGAAGTAGTAAGTTCATCTATAAAGTAGTAAGTTCATCTATAAAGTTCATTGGTAAAGTTCATCAGCTTCATCTACTTGTTATTTCATCATCCCGTCTACCCCTTAATTAAGAAAAGAGCCCGTGTGAAGTAAATATCATTATAAAGTCATAAGGTCCTAAAGTCCTAAGGTCAGCGGCTGAAACCCCGCTGAAACCCGCTGACATACGATCCTCTTCCGTCTTTCCCTTTAAATGCCCTTTAATTTCTTTGCAACACTGTCACTTTATTTGTTTTACCGTCCCTGTCCGATGCTCTCGCTCTTTTCATGAGACTCTTCAAGATCTCTCCATTTCTATAATCTCTCTTGTTTGGGACCGGTTACCTTCCAATCACTCTCGCCACCTGCAGCTTTCTCTCTCCACCTCTCTGCCTCAGTCTATTCCTTCCCGCCGTCTGTTGATTTTCCTTTAACGCTGAAAGTTGTTGCGCTGCTCTTCAGGTTATAACGGTACCACTTCTCGCCACTTCTCAGACCGCGTCACTGCTATGCGCTTTTCTCCGCCGCCTGCACTATCGCACGCAGACGTCGGCCACCGAATCTAATCGAAGGTTCTTAAAGAAGACGCTACTAGTCCGGAGGGGAAAAGTCACCCCTAAAGTTTTACGGTTTGTCACCTTCTTTGTAATTTCTGTGAGGGTTCTGCAGCTCCGGTAGCTCCCACTTTCCTCCTCGTCCTGAGTATTTCCCTGGGACCTGGGCTTTGGGGAAAAAGGCTTCTCGCAGTGAGTCGCCACTCACTGCTCGATTCCTTTAGCCCCCTCTCCCGAACCCCCTCTCCGTGGGGTTCGCAGTGATGTGGCCAGATTTCCTTGCTCAGTCACCACTCCAAGGTCTCAGGAATTCGTTGTCGGCAGAGCATTCCCTCTGCACAACCTCGTCTCGTCGCGCCAAAACCGGAAGTCGGGGGATTCTACTGTTGAGTGGATTTGTGGCAAAACCTGCAGCATCCCTACCTTGGAGCGCCCTTTCCTGATGGCTCTCCTGCCCTGGGCCTCAGTGGCCCCCAGCCAGGACAGTGTCGTCACTCCACGAGGGGCCTCTGCCAGCAGGGTCTCTCCCCAGCCTTCTGGGGCCTCTGTGGGCAGGCAGGCAGGCAGGCAGGCAGCCCTTGCGGAGCCTGCTGGCCATTCACCCCCAAGTCCTCGTTCCGACCCCGTCGGCAGGCAGCTGCTGCTCCACAGAGAGCCAGAGGGGAGGTGGGGGCACCTGCCGTGTTCTCTGCTCTTCTTTTTTGAAAACCAACCAGCCTGATCCTGTGTCCTTTATTGCGGGAAATGCATCCTTCAAACAACTTTCTAAAAACTTTATTTGAAACATGTGTCTTCGGCGGAAAGTCAATCAGTGACCATTAAATCTCAGCCAGTGAGAGGGGCAGGAACTCAAATGCAGGAGAGTAAAGGGCACCAAACTTGTGCCTCTGGGGAGTGTCTTCCTAAGGCCGCTGATTCCACTGTGGCACAACTCTGGCTGTCAAAAAGTTTTCCCTGATATCCAGCCGGCACCTTCCCGCCCTTCACTCCAACCCATGATGGCGAGTCCTCCTGTCCTCAGCTGCCCACGGGAACAGCTCCTTGCCCTCCTCTGGGTGCCCTCCTCCTTCCAAGACTTCAAGAGGGCAATCGTGCCTGCCCCCCTCCGCCTCCTCTTCTCCAGACTGAACATGCCCAAGAGGTCCCTCGGCCTTTCCTCCTCGCAGGGCTTCTCGGTCTCCAGGCCCCCCCGGTCATCCTCCTCGCTCTCCTCTGCGTGTGCTCCCTTCTGTCCACATCGTTCTTGGAGCGAGGCCTCCAGAACTGCACACAGGACTCCACGTGTGGCCAGACCCATGCAGTGCGCAGTGGGACTAGGACATCTTGCAGTTTGGATGTTCTGCCTCTGTTGATACACCCCAAGATCGCATTAGCCTTTTTTGTTGCTGCTCATAATTAACTTACAGTCCACCCGTACCCCAAGATTCTTTTCACACACACGGCTACCCAGAAGTGTTTCCTCCATCCAATATGCATGTTCCTCATTTTGTTACCCAACTTGGCACTTATCCTTGTTAAATTGCATCCTGTTCACATCCGCCCACTTTTCCAGCGTGTTCACATCTTGCTGAATTCTCTCTCTCTCTCCCTCCCTCCTGTTGTGTTCGCTGCTGCTCCTCCCAATTTGGTGTCATCTGCAAATGTAATGAGTAGCACCTCCACACCCTCATCCAGATGATTTATAAAAATATTGAAAAGTACCGGGCCCACAACCAATCCCTGTGGCACCCCACTGGACACCTCCCTCCATTCCGATGAAATGCCCCTGACACAACTCCTCCTCTCCCCGGGTGGGGTTCTCCCACCGGTCCCCGTCCTGCTGACTGTCCCACAGCCCAGCGCCCCCGCAGTCCTCTAGGCTGTCCTCCAGCCACATGGCTCTTTGCCCTCCCTCCCCTTGTCCTCACCCAGATACTTTCCGCTGGGCTGCTGCCCTCCCCCTCCGGTACTTCCTGACAAACAGACCCTCTCCTCACATGCAGCCCCCACTCCGCCGCCTCTTCGACCCTTGTGTGTTTTTTCTTGGACAGCTCATATCCATCCACTGCTACGTTCCGGTCCTGGGGATCGTCCCACCAAGTCTCTGCCATGCCGACGGAATCAGATCCCTCTGACGGCATTAGCAGCTCAAGCTCTTCCTCCTGATTGCCCAGGCTTTGGGCATCGGTACACAGACACCTTTGGCTCCATGAGACCCGGCCCTCCCAGTTGGGCCTCTGTTGCTTGCTCCCCTTCATTGAACCCTAACCCTTCACCTCCATTATCATCGGTTCCTGTCGTATTCCCCTTCCTATGACAAGAAGGGTGGAAGAGAATACCACCCGTGCCCCCATTCCCCCCCCCCCCCCCCCCCCAGAGCTTCACAGTCAGCCTTAATTCTTTTGATGGTGTTCACAGCCGTGCCGTTGGTTCCCCCATGGGCCATCACGAATGGGTCGTGCTCTGATGAGTTTTGGGATCCTGTCTATAATATCTTTAATTTTCGCCCCTGGCAAGCAACACACCTCTCGGGCCAGGGGGTCAGGCCTGGACACCTGACGTCCCATATCCCTCAGCAGGGAGTCACCTGTGGCCGACACCTTCCTCTCCCCTCCCAGTAGCGCCGTTTCTTCATAGCTCCCTGTCCTCCTCCCTCTGTCTCCCTTGTGCGGGTGATACTTCCGCTGGCCGTCTTTCCATCTCTGCCTCCACCGCAAGGGCCTGGAATCGGTTCCTCCGTTCTGGTGGCCCGGAGTGCCGTCTCACTCGATGCCCTTTGGGGTCAGGCTGTAGCGCTCTGAGGGGTCTCGTTAGGGCAGTTGACCACACTGTCGTCCCCCTGACTGGTCTCTCCTTCCCTGTGCAGGACGTCAAGGCTTCTGTTAATGAACTCCTCCCCTTCCTTGGTCTCACGGAGAGTAGCAATCCTTTCCTCCAGGCTCTGGACCCTCTCCTCTAAGAGTCCCTGTCAACTTGCGCTTCTGACGGGTGTGGGGGTCTGTCTCGCCCTCAGGGAGGGAGACAAACATGGCGCACTCCCTGCAGGTGACTGGAAATGGTCCGTGAGCATTCCTCATCACTTCCCAAGCGGATCCTTTCACCTAGAAATACCTTGGTGTGTTGATGGACCCTGAAACTTAGAGAACTGACCCAATGACTACCTGAGCCAAAAATGGTGAAGCACAACAGTGTACAGTTTTCTTAACCACTCATGGAATCCCCAGCCCCCCACCCCCCGCTAAGAGGAGCCACAGAGCAAGAGCCCTTCGGCTGTGCCCTTCGGCCTGGCACGCCTCAGGCTCATAGCCCCCACCTCCCACCAGCCACCGCAGAGGGCGGGGCCAGCCCCTGCCCCCCCCCGGCAAACAGGCCCTCCTCTCTCAGCAACCAACCAGCCAAAAACACACACACACACACACACACACACACACAGAGAAGCCATCAGAGACCCCTCTCCCGCAGGCTGCGAGCACTCACGCCCCTTCACTCACACAGCAGCCTCAGTTAACACGCTCCCCTGCAGCGGAGGAAAAGCAAACCACGGGGAAGGCTCTGCCCACCAGCCTCACCTTTGGGGAGGGAGGGAGGGGCCTGGGACAGGCCTCCCAAAGATGGCGGGGGAGAACAGGCAGGTTCACACGGATAGGCCCCCGGCCCCCCCCCCGCCCCCCCGGTCTCTGGCCGTGAAAGGCTGTACGGATCCAAACCAGCCTCTGGGCTGGTGCCTCCTTGGGACCTCTCAGTGCTGGTGCTGCTGTGCATTCCGCCCCTCAGCTGCTGGACTGGGAGCTAGCTGGGATCTCTTGAGTGGCCTGTGAAGGCGGCTCCCCCTGCAGCCACAGCACACAGTCTGGATGCTGCCGGCGAGTGTCCGGGTGACACTGCGAAAGCTGGCTCTCTCTGGGGGCCGGGGCGGGTTCCAGCCCTACTCTGGGGGCCACCCAAAGGAAAGGCCTGCTCTGGCAGAGGCCCCGAGCTGACCCTTTCGGTGTGGAGCAAGCTGAGTGTCTCTCCCCTGGTCAGCCAAACCGGCCAGGCTGGGGGAAGAATGTAAACATTCCACGTTCACTTGATCCTTTTATGATCTCCAGCAGTGTGTTGGGAAGAGAAACTTCCTCAGCGCTCCCACCCGCCTAAACACACACACAAACACGCACACGGACACGCCACTTGCCAGGTTCCACTGATACTGCTGGACTCTTTTGTTCTCCACCCCGCACCCCCTTTTAGTGGCCTACAGTATTTCTCTGTAATTCCCAATCTCTGCAGGCCCCTAAAAAGGAGCTCCAGAACGGGGTGATCCGCGGCTACCAAATTGGCTATCGGGAAAACAGTCCTGGAAGCAACGGACAGTACAGCATCGTGGAGATGAAGGCCACTGGGGACAACGAGGTCTACACCCTTGACAATCTGAAGAAGTTTGCCCAGTACGGGGTGGTGGTGCAGGCATTCAATCGGGCGGGCACCGGCCCCTCGTCCAGCGAAATCAATGCCACCACCCTGGAGGATGGTAAGTGGGCTGCTCAGAGGCGCCTCGTCTCTTGCCGGCTTCTCTCTCTGCCAGGGCCGTGCCCGGATGGCTTGGGATGCCAGAGGTGTGGGGGGGGGGCTCAGCCGCATGGTGCCTCTTCCTGCTGGGCCAGAGCCTGCCGACTCCCCCAAAGCACACCAGCTCCTGCTGCACCCCAAGGGATCTGTTGCTGAAGGCCCACTGCCAGAGGCCTGTTTTCCGCCGTGTTCCCTATTCCCTTTGTGTCGCCTCCCAGTCTGTGGCCAGTGAACATCCCTGCATTTTAGACTCTATCGGGCCAAACGCTGCCCCCCCCCCGGAGGATGAAGTGGTTTCCCAGTTCCTTATCTGCACCCTCCAACAAGCTCTGCGCGCCACCAGATGCTTTGGACCCCCACAGAGTGTAACACACACACACCCCACTTTCAGGGGACGGTGCCCTACAAAGCGGCCCGTGGCTTTCCCTGGCCCAAAGCCGAGCTGTCAGAGTTGGAGAAGGGAGGACTGTGTTGCCTCCGCTGCTGCTCCCTGGGCACTTCTTGGCCTCTTGGCCTCTGTCCCAGGCCCGGAGGGTGCGGCTGCCCAGGCCACAGCTGCCTGACGCCAAGGTCCTCCTTGGCTTTGTCCCACACCCTCCAGGCCCCCCAGGAAGGCCAGGTCTGCACTGGCCTTGGAGTCATTTGAAACACACAAAAAGTTTCTCCCCCCATTTGCTCAGCAGTTTTTCATACTTAATTAAGACCCTCGTTAGCCTGTCAGCGCATGAGCATTTTCTGGCTCGATTAGCACTCCTCCTGGGGTATTCAAGGGTCCCCGTTTTAACAATGGTGTCTTTTCCATAATTATATTACCTTCATTTTGTTCAAATGGACTCTCTATTAGTTTATTGCACCCGGCCCCTAATTACACGGTGCTTACAGTTTTACACCTAAGTAATATGAAACAATAATCATTTTCGGAGTGGATCGTTAGGATGATGTATCATCATTTAAGTGCTCGTAAAAATCAGAGCTCCCTCTTTGGGGGCAGTGGGACCTCATTCCCTCCCTCCCACTCCTTCACGGTGCCTCCCCTCCCCCTTTCTTCCAAGCAATCCAGCCGCAGGTTTCTCAGGAAGCCTTGGAGTTGCGGGAGGGAGCAAAGCCATCCGGACATGGTGGCAGCACCCAGGGGACGTGGGGCTCTGATGCGGCCAGGTGGCTGGCCAGCCAGCCAGCCAGCCACTGGGGTGGCTTCGAAGCCACTCGGGAGGAAGGTCCCACAGGTCCCGCTGCCCCTTGACTCTCCACTGCGGAACGAGGGCCCAGGAACAGCTGTGGAGGGAGAGGGGTGGGGCAAGCGCAGGGGACAGCGTTGCTTCGGCCGTGTGGCCATCCCTAACAGAGGTCTCTTTTGGCAGTGCCTAGCCAGCCCCCGGAAAATGTGAGGGCCTTGTCCATCACCTCTGACGTGGCCGTCATCTCGTGGTCTGAGCCCCCACGGAGCACCCTCAATGGCGTCTTGAAGGGCTACCGTGTCATCTTCTGGTCCCTCTACATGGACGGAGGTGGGTTGGCCCGGCTCTCGATTCCTTTCAGCCTCAGTTTGCGCTCCAGGAATGAGGCAGTGGGGTCTCCTTTGCTTCTGAGGGCTTTCCGGCAGTTTCCATTTCCATTGGGGTGGGGCACGTGGTGTTTTCCCAGCATTCGCACGAGGCAGCAGGAGCCCCCCTGCCTCAGGTGGGCCTGACCTGGGGTCCTGTGACCACGCTGTGTGTGCCATGCGCCGTGCGACCCCACATCGGCCTCTGCGGTGGTGTGTGAAACTCCTCAAGAGCTGTTCTCTGACCGGATGTGCCGCTTTGGAGCAAGGCGGGGGTGTGGCTGCAGACGCGTCCCAGGCAGCCGCTTCTCTCAGAGGACTCTGGGCCAGCTTCTTGTGAAGCTCTGCTTTGTTCCCGCCTCCCCAAAGCCAAGGCAAATGTGGGCCAGCCACGGAAGGGGGTGGGGGTGGGGGTGGTGCTGGAGCGTCTGTCCTTGAAGGAGCTCAGAAAACCTCCCTGTGTCCGTGTCCCCTCCCTCCCCCCCGGAAATCTGCCTGCGCACCCTCCCTTCCCGGCTACGCTCCTGCTGCTAGAGAAGGGCTTCCACCACGGTCAAGGCGGGTTAACGGCACAGGAGAAGCCCCAAGGGTGCGAGGCCTCTGGTGCCCCCTGGGGGGGGGGAGCAGAGGCTGTCGGGTGTTGCCCAGTGAACAAAGAGCGACTGCAGCTGTCAGGACCGGGCGTGAGTGGGGGCTTCTCCGTGGTGCCAGGGTCAGGCTGGGTCGTGGCCAGGCATTCCCCGTCTCCTGTGCCCTCCAGAGCACCATGCCGCCCTGGGCTGTGCTCAGGGAGTCATGCGGCTCTGGGCGGGCTCTGCTCCCTTCCCACCCCAGCGGAGGAGGCCGGGAGCAAGTCTCCGGAGGCGACAAAGGAGGTGGTGAAGGGAAAGGAGCCCCCTGCGTCCAGGCACACGGCCTGTGCCCCTCTGCGGACAGGCCCCAGGCCCCATGCTGCTCGGCTGCGTGCCTCCTCCTACAGCAAGGCACGTGTGGGGCAAGCCACGTGTGGGGTCCAGGAAGGCCCGTGAGGCTTCTGCTCTGTGATCAAGGCATCGGGCAGCTGCCGGTCCCCGGCGAGAGGGTGTTGGGGGGCAGGGCGGCAGAAGGCTGCCTCCGCCTCCTCCTCCTCCCCACCACCCTCCTCCCCCAGCCCTGACCACTCTGCTTTCCCCACAGAGTGGGGGGAGATGCAGAATATCACCACCACCCGGGAGCGCGTGGAACTGCGTGGCATGGAGAAGTTCACCAACTACAGTGTGCAGGTCTTGGCCTACACGCAGGCTGGCGATGGCGTCCGCAGCAACGTGCTTCACATCCAGACCAAGGAAGACAGTGAGTGCCTGGGGGGGTGGGGGGGGTTATGTTTCTTGCAGGCCCTCTGTGCCGCCGCCGCCTCCTCCTCTGTGGTGGCTGGGAAGCAGGGCTGCCGGCTCCGGATTTGGGGGCGGAGCGTTTGTGGCAGGGAGGAGGCGCAGCGTGGACGTGGTGCGAGGGAATCCCCTCCCCCCTCCAAAGCTGCCACGGCCTCTGGGGAGCCAAACGCTGCAGTCCGGAGAAGGGCGGCAGTTCCGGGAGGAGTCCAGAGGCCCCGCCAGGCAGGTGCGGAGTACATGGCAACCCGGCTGGGAAGTGCTGGCCTGCGGCTGGTCATGGAGCACTTTGCTTCCTTTCCCACCAGAGGGGGACTTTCACGTCTTTATTTTCATTTCATGTCATTTTAATTGTTTAAATTGCATCCCCCCCCTTCCCCGCCAAAGCAAGCTCAGGGCAGCTTACAGAACATATATATATATATATATGAATATGGAAAACAGCGAGCAGGTCTCTGCCTTCTCTCGCTGAGCTGGTGTTCTTGCATACAGGGAGAGATTTCCCACTGGGTGACATGTTGTGCACACACACACACACACACACACACCCCGCGCATGATCAGCAGCCCCACCCCCAGGCTGTGCGCACCTCTTCAGCGGCGGCGCACGTAGCGTAGCATGACTCTGGGAGAGCTCAGACTTCACTTGATGTGAAGAGCTGGAGAGGAGTCCACTCCGGGCGGGGAACTTTGGCCTCCTCCCAGCCATGCCTTTGCTTGCTCATGGCCCCGGGTGAGACCTCGTGTGACTGGGGCCTGGATGGCTGGACAGGAGAGCCCCAGACAGAAGTCCCCCTCCCCCCCTCGCTGCTGTGGGTCACTCCCGGCATGAGCTGAGGAGGAGCCAAAGGTTGGGCAGAAGCTCCTTTGGACGTTGAGTCTGGCCAGAGCAGCCATTTGGTGAGCATTTGGGGGGGGGGAGGGCAGAGAGCCTCGCTCTCCACGCATGCATGCGGAGGGCTGTGTTCACGTGGTCCAGTCGTCCATGTTTGGCCCAGGAGGGCTGGGCCGGAGGAGGCCACACGTGCCCTCTGCCAGGGGGACCCTCTGCTTTGCGTCCTGCGGGGGGGGGGGGGGGAGATCTTGCAGTGGGAAAGGAGACTCTCATCAGAGTCCTGCTGTCTCTCCCCTTCAGCCCATTTTAAATTCATATTTGGCTTCTAAAGGGTTTCGTGCTCTTTTCATGCCCTGGCTGGGGTTTTTTTTAACCATTTTGTGTGTCTGTCATGTTGCACGCTCTTTCCAGCAGGGTCTTTCTGCAAAGGGGCTCTTGGCACATCTGTTTGCCAAGGAAAGAATTGTCGGATGCCACAGGGCAGGCAGGGAAGCTGAGACAGCGTGTGGAGGGGCTAAGAATAATTTCTTTCAGGGAAGCAAGAGGAAAACTTTGTTTCTTCCAGGAAAATGAAAGAAAGAGATCTCTGTTTGTAATTTTTAATTTTTTCCCCTTTAGGTGCCAGTCTTCCAACAGTATAATTTTAATAATAATAATCTCTTGTTGCAGTAGTGCAGAAACTAATTAAAAATAGATAGGGAACATATATTCTTCTAAATTTTCAAATCTCACTTCCCTGAAAAAAATTCTTTGTGTGTAATTTTTATGCTTCCCTTTTCAATACCAGAGCAGCAGCAGAGTAAAAATAGGTTTTAAAACCTATTTGAAAAATGAATTAAAATTAAAAGAAAAAGAAATCCTGCTGTTCTATAAGGAACACATTTTCTTTCCATGTATATATTACTTTGCCTTCCTATACCAGCACTCCAGCAGAGTAAAAAAGAGAAATTAAAAACAAAACAAAGAAGAACAGAAACTTCCCTGGAAATATTTAGGGTTTTCTCTCTCCTTTCTGCACAACCACAGGACTTAGCTACTATAATGACTTCTTTTCTTCTCCTTGAATCCCTTTATCATGATGACTTATAATGGGAATTTCAAAAATACCCATCTGGAAGCACCATGTGTTCTTAGCCTTTCAGTGCCACTTTAGGAAAAAACATGTCTGATTGTGCAAAACCCCAAAATCTAGGGACAGGGCTTTGGAAGCAGCCCAAGCGCAAGAGCCGTGCTTTCCAGAGTTACAACAGCAGGCCGCTGCCATGTCCGAGGAGGGGAAGGGTCCCTTTGAATGGGTCTGGGGGAGTCCCCAGAAGATACAGGGGCCCACAAGCACAGTCTCCCTGGCTTGCCACTTTCTACCGAATTGGCAGGCAAGAGGGAGGGACCGTCTCCTCCCCCCCCCCCCAACGGGGGGGGCCGGGGAGGGGCGAAACCTTGCCCTGCTGGGTGGGTGTGGGGTGGGGCTGGCACCGTCCCGCTCACTCTATTTGCTTCCTGGCCTTGGGGAGATTGACCCCCCTCCCCCCACCCTGCGCCGAGTGGCTGAGGAGCTTCTTGCCCCCCCCTCCCCTTCCAGCTGCCTTCGGCCCGGTGGGTCTCCAGGCTCCCATTTAAAATGCAAATCTGTCTCATTTAGGGCAAGCTGGGAGGCTGGAGCGCCTGCTTCTGCCAGAACAAATTGTGTCACTGCTTCTCCTGCGCATCTCCCTCCTCCTCCTCCACCAGCAGCCCAGCCGGGGCCTTCTGCTTGCTGACGGGAAGGCGGCAGCGAGGCTTTGGGCCTTTGGACAGGAGCCTGAAGGGTCTCCAGGAGGAAGGAGGAGAGTCCAAGCAGGAGGGGGCCAAGCGCAGGGCAGGGGGGCTGCTGGGAAGCGAGGCTGCTTTCTGCAGGCTGCCCCCAGTCCAGGGACCCGTGGCCAGTGGCCAAAGACCCCATTGCTCCTGAGGGGAACAGTGGGGGCAAGCCCCTCCAGTCGTCTCACCCGCACCGGTCTCTCTCTGGCTGGCTGCTCCTGTCCTGGGGAGCTCTGGGCATGGCTGCGGCCCAAGAGGACCAAACCACCACAGGCAGAGGCGGCATATAGTTGTTGTTGTTCAGTCGCACAGTCGAGTCTGACTCTTCGCGTGGACCAGATCCCGCCAGGCCCTCCTGTCTTCTGGCGTCCTCTGAAGTTGGCTCAATTTCCTGGCCCCACTGGTGGACCTCCTGATGGCACTGGTATTTCTGGCCACTGTGTGATACAGAGTGTTGGACTGGATGGGCCTTTGGCCTGATCCAACATTGGCATCTCTTATGTTCTTATGTTCGTTGCATCGATGACACTGTCTAACCATCTTGTCCTTGTCGTCCCCGTCTTCTTTGACCTTCAATCTTTCCCAGCATCAGGGTCTTCTCCAGTGAGTGCTCCCTTCTGATTGGGTGGCCAAAGTATTTGAGCTTCAGTTTCATTATCTGGCCTTCCAGGGAACAGTCAGGGTTAATTTCTTTGAGGATTGACTGATTTGATCTCCTTGCAGTCCAAGGGACTCTCAAGAGTCTTCTCCAGCACCCTAGTTCAAAAGAATCTATTCTTCGGCGCTCGGCCTTCCTTATACTCCAACTCTCGCAGCCATACATGACTACTGGGAATACTATTGCTTTGACCATGCGGACTTTTGTTGGCAGGGTGATGTCTCTACTTTTTATCATGCTGTTGAGGTTCTCCATCGCTTTCCTCCCAAGGAGCAGGCGTCTTTTAATTTCATGGCTGCTGTCACAGTCTGCGGTGATCTGGGATCCCAGGAACGTGAAGTCTGTCACTACTTCCACGACTTCCCCTTCTATTTGCCAAGGAGTGATGGGGCCGGATGCCATGATCTTAGTTTTTTTGATGTTGAGCTTCAAGCCCACTTTTGCGCTCTCCTCTTTTACCCTGAGCAAGAGGCTCTTGAGGTCCTCTTCACTTTCTGCCATCAGAGTGGTATCGTCTGCATATCTGAGGTTGTTGATCTTTTCCCCAGCAATCTTAATTCCCGCTTGTGATTCATCCAGGCCAGCATTTCGCATGATGTACTCTGCATATATATTAAATAAGCAAGGCGACAATATACATCCTTGTCGTACTCCTTTTCCTATGCTAAACCAATCAGTTGTTCCATATCCAGTTCTAACTGT